CAAATCTATTGGAAGAGCAAGACTCTCATTTGATAGCCTTTATTTTTACAGAAGTTGAAACTACAATCAATACACCCATTACCTACCAGGATTCGGATTATGAAAAATTCAGCTTTTTGAGAGCTATCGAATTTGTTCAGAACCGTGTCAATCTCGCATTTCCATTCAGAGATATATAGAATCACACTTCATATCCATACTACCTCCCACCAATGGCCTATTATCACTAGAAACACGGCAACAAGCGGTTAATGCTCGTCATTCATCCGTTCAATTTACCCAAGGTCGGATTCCTGGGCGATTATTGGCGGAGAGCAGTACATCGCCGCGCAGCCGATTGTAACAAGCTTACGGGAACGACATGAAAAGCGAATTATATTTCCAGGAGGCCTTTCACACCATACACACTCTTGGCTTGACTTTTCAAATCAAACATCGGAACACTTTTCACAAATCAAATGCGAGCACTTTTCAAAGCACAAATCGGACACTTTTCAAATCAAATCGGCAACAAGTCACGCCTTAAATTAGGTGGTTGATTAACTAGACGCACGACTAGGTACTGGTTGCAAGCTCCGCCCCATTATGCCGCCGCCCATTACTCAATAGACAGGGTTTTCCGAGGACTGGCGTTCAAAATGCTGCTGCCCTGCGACTTTTTTTTTCGTTTTTGCCGCCTTTTGCGGCCACGACACTTCGACACTGAAAAGATTGTATATCCCAAGACCTCAGATCTAGAATACAGACCACTTCACCACCATGAAGTCCATTACCACATCTCTCTCCGCATTTTTGATAACTATTTTTCACGCACGAAGTTCCTTTTTTCATCCATCCCATGCTTCACAAAACGGATAACATGCGCACAAGACCACATGCCCAGCTCCTCTGACCCACCAGCCACGCACCTTGAATGTGCTAATCAGCGGAACTTTAATGGCTTTTTCTTGCCGGAATTTTCGCTTTTTTTAGGCCCTTATAGCTAAGTCGATTGGCTCCGCCCACGCAATGGAAGCTCCGCCCACTTTATGGGGAAGCCCCCGCCCACTTTTCAAAAACGGATGCAAAATCGGCGGGCACTAATGTGCCGCTACTGGCGAATTACGACCTCTCCACCAACATACACTCAGAAAATTCGCATCTTTTTTCGCGGTTCTTCCTTTTTTATTCTATGGGCCGGAGAGGCCGTTAATGCGTGCGGGGCCAAGAACGGACGACTTAGCGCCGACCCAGATTCACTTCATCACCCTTTTGAAAGTGAGGCGGGCCCGTTCCCACAGAAGATGGCGTGGGAGACTAATGAAGTCGAGAATGAGGCGGCCAGGCCAAATCGCTAACAAACGCCATACAAAAAGGAAAATACCGAGAAGAGAAAGATGAAGTTCCACGAGATAAACACCAGTGGGCGGCGGTCCAGAGCGGGGCGCCTGGTTGTGCTGTGGCAGGAAGTGATAAGGGCTGATAAGATACCATAAAGAGCCTTAGGGAGTGGGTCACCTAATTCATAACACCGGCCAGAGCAAGGACGGGACGTTGGATCCAAGTAGTAAGGTAGGAGCAGGGTAGGATCATTATTGGTGGGTGGCAGGAATTGATAACAGCCGATAAGATATCATAAGGGCTCTTAAAAAGCGAGGGTCACCAAATGCATAACAGAATGGAAACATTATTGGTGGGTGGCAGGAAGTGATAAGAGCTGATAAGATACCATAAAGAGCCTTAGAGGAGTGGGTCACCTAATTCATAACACCGGCCAGAGCAAGGACGGGACGCTGGATCCAAGTAGTAAGTTAGGAGCAGGGTAGGATCATTATTGGTGGGTGGCAGGAATTGGTAACAGCTGATAAGATACCGTAAGGGGTCTTAGAAAGCGAGGGTCATCAAATTCATAGCACCGCCATTCATAGCAACAACGAGACATTGGTTATACGAAGTAAGAAAGGGGCAGGATGGGAACATTATTGGCGGGTGGCAGTGGCAGGAATTGATAACAGCTGATGAGATAGCCAGGAAAATTCAGAGCAGAGTTGTAGCAACACTGGGAACTGCTCCAGCGAGTAATTCAGAGGTGCTTAGGAAACATTAAAGGTGGAAGATAAATTCTGACAGTGTCCTACAAGGGCTTTTGGGAGTCCGTATCTGCTCACATCACCGTAACCAAAGAATCAATGGGCGAAGGCTTAGTGAGCCAAAATGTTTGCCATTAGTAAAATCCCTCAGTTCAGCGGTCGGAATTGCTTCCACCGCTAAACGCTCGAGTTCCCCGAAAATAGGATGCTTGGAGTTGTTTGCCAGTGAGGAATGATAAGAGCCCCTAAATTTCAACATTTTTACCATCGAAGTCCTTCCAACCGCTATGCTGTCCTATTTCCAACGAATGGTGCTTTTAGAAATATGATAAGAACCTAACATTGGCAAATGTTCCATTAAAAGGGAGAAACATTATGAAATGGGCCGTTCTGGGAACATAGGAATTAGGCTAAGTGTTAGTGCTCAGCACAGGAATCCTGTCAGTTATCAGTAACAAAGTTTTAATCATGCGCGCAAAAATGCGCGTCAGCCAGACTGGTATATAATATGCTATGAACTGTCCGATCAGAATTTAACAAAGTGAAACTTATAATGCCTTGGATGTCAAGGAAGAAAAGTGACT